TCAAAAAAAAAAAAAAAGAAATCCATCCCTACATAGCCTAAGGTCCTAAGGAATTTTCTTCAACTTTTTTTCTGTTAGAATTTTGTTTTTCTCTTTCACATGTGGATAAACCCTCCTGAAGGGTCTCTCAACCTTGACACTATAGACATTTGGGGCTGGAGATTTCAGCCCCAAGTTGTTGTGAGCAGCTGTCCTGTGCATTGCAGGATACTGAACAGTGTCCCTAGGTGCCCGTGCCCTACAAGTTGAGACAACAAAAATGTCTCCTGACATTGCCAAATGTTTTCTGTGGTACAAAATTGCCTCCAGTGGAGGAGAATCACTGATCTGTTGGACTTTATTGTAGATAGTGTGAAATAAAAGGAGTGATTTTTCTTAACATGCGGAACCAGTTTTACTAATACTATCTGCTACATAACTCTTCTTTGCAAACTTATTTACTATGCCACAGCCATTACATACCACGTTTCTGAACATGCACAAGTTTGTTGTGTGGTATGTGGTAGAGCCTGATGACATATCCCAAACTCATCTCCTCTTCTTGGGCACAGAGCTAACCGTTTCCCAGCCCCCTTACACCCAAATGCAGCAGAAGTAAAGTGTGTCACCTCTAGGCCTGGGCAGCTTGGGGCAGGGGTGTCTTCACCTTGTTCTCTCTTACTCTGCCCTTTCTGAGGACACCTGGCAAAGCTGTGAATCTGAGAGCTGAATGGGCTCAACGAGGCAGTTCTTACTCGGGGTCTCAGGTGTTTACAGTCAGACAATAGTTGTGATGCGGTTACCTCGAGGGTGTCACCTGACACCTGGCTGGGAGAGCAACTAAGGCCCCTCAGGCCTCTCCTCACCCCATCTCTCCCTGCAATAGCCTCAGAGTAGCTGGACCTTCTGCCCAATGACTGAACTGACTGTCACTGACTGTCGCAAAGTGGTGTGACCTTTTCTAGCTTAGCCTTGGAGGCCCCACAGCATCACTTCTGCATTCTCTTCATCCAGGCAGCCACAAAGGCCAGCCCAGCTTCCGTGGGCAAGCACCAGGAGGCTGAAGTGCCAAGATGTTTGCGGACATGTTTTAAAATCACCCCAAGAAATGTGATATGATTCTGAATTCCTCATTCCTCATGGCATGTGACTTATTTTCTTCTCTCTGGAAAGATGCAAGGTCTCCATTTTATTTCAGGAGGCTCCAGAATTTCATTTGTTTTTGTTTCAGTCCTTGGTCCTTTTTCCTTCATTGCCCAAGGCACTCGGTGTGCCTTTCAGTCTGAAAGCTCATGTTCTTCAGCCCTGGGAGATTGTATTGTATTATTCATTTGCTCATGTCCTCCCTATTTCTTTTTCTGCCCTCACCTTTTTCCCACTCTCTGGATTTCCTCAAGTAATACTCTATTTTTCTTATCTTTCCATGCTTTTATCTTTTTCTTCTATTCATATATATATTTTTCAACTTTATCTCCTGAGATTTTTCATTTCTGCTATCATATTTTTAATTTCTAAGATCTCCTTTTCCTTTGAATGGATGTATAAAAACAAGATGTCAAAGTATATTAACTTAAACTTATGTTCAGCAATTCATGCTTTAGTATTTTAACTTAATTAGAAATAACCTAGACATTGAATGAATATTTATTACTTGAGTTAACATAACATAAAAGATTCAAGGTTTTGAGTTCCCCCCCCAAATTTATAATTATTGTAAGTAGACATGTTTTAAAAATCATAACTATTTTTGAAAGGTTCATTTGTAAACTTTTATTTCATTTATATTTACCTAATTCACTTGTTCTTAACTTTTTCGTTTTGAGGCAGAGTCTCAATCTGTCACCCTGGGTAAAGTGCCGTGGACTCAGAGCTCACAGCAACCCCAAATTCTTGGCCTCAAGAGATCTTATTGTTCAAGGCTCCCAAGTATCTGGGACTACAAGTGCCTGCCACCACTCTGGGCTAGTTTTTCCTGTTTTTAGTAGAGATGGGTGTTGCTCTTGCTCAGGCTGGTCTCAAACTCCTGCGCTCAGGTGCTAGAACTGCCTCAGTCTCCTAGAGTTCTGGGATTACAGGTGTGAGCCACCGTGCTCAGCTTGCTCTTAACAATTATGTTTGAATTGCTCATGAAAACAATTATGAGACATTAAACAAACCTAGCCCCTAAAGGAGTCAGAAAATGCCACCCCCAAATATACCTCATTGTTATTGTTATTTATTTATTGAGCCAGACTCTCACTCTACTGCCCAAGCCAGAGTGCCATGGCAGCAGCTCAGTTCATAGTAACCTCAAACTCTTGGACTCAATGGACCCTCTTGCCTCAGGCTCTTGCATAGCTGGGACTACAGGTGTTGCCACCACATCCAGCTAAATTTTCTATTTTTAGTAGAGATGAGGTCTTGAACTCCTGAGCTCAAGTGATCCTTCCACCTTGGCCTTCCAGAGTGCTAAGATTATAGCCATAAACTGATGGCATTTGAGAAATAGAAAACACAGGGAGAGATTCTCTCTGGACTCCCCATATATGCCTACCAGACAGACCCTCTGAAGGAACTCAGCGATCATCAGTCCCCTCTTTGAGAGCTCCACCAGTCAGGGGAGACCAATTCCTATCTCCAGAGAGGCTCCTAGGAGTCAGTGTCACAGCTAGACACATTTCATTATAAACTATCATCTATTCTTCCAAGGGCCCATTTAATTTTTTCAAAAATCACTTACTCTCCCCTAAATTGCATACATTTCCCCTCTTTCTTCCCCATTAAAAAACATTCATCAGCTCCTAAATCTCACTGGGGTGTTTTTGAGCGAGGGGGTATTTGTTTTTCCTTCCTGTGATGCCCCCGACATGCAGTAAATCTGTATACCTTTTCCACTACTAATCTGCTTGTTGTCGTTTTGTTTCATAGACGCAGTTATCAAACCCTCAGAGGGTTGAAGGAAAGTCTTCCCTCCTCTACACCATCATCTTATGCTATTTTATTTTTTAAAAGGTCTCACATATTTATCACTGACCAGCTTGTTAGTGAAGAGCATGTAAACAAAGAGAAAACTCATTTTCCCAATGAAACGTGGTCAACTGTCCACCTGATGACATTTTTCAGCTTGATATGGTAAGATGAGAGTGACCTTGATACAGCATAGATATGTGCCATCTCTTGTGCAACTCCTGTAGACCCAGTTTTTCTCCAGTGTCTCTTCTTCGAGTTATACCTGATTTTATTACCAGTGGTTTTCATTCGAATCCACTGGAGAATGGGACAATTTTGTTTTTGTTTGTTGGCCAGAAACTGCTTGATTCTGAAAGTCTTGTGAGAGGACATGGCAATAAATGGGGTTAATCACACACACCATGATGGTGGACAGAGGGAGAGAAGGCATGCTATTTTATTTTTGTTGAGAAATCAGGCAAGTATCCAAAATGTCACAGAAGCAAAGACACTAAAAATATCAAACATGATTCTCCTCTCTCTTTCTTACTTCTGCAACTGATGTGCATCAAGTCATTTTTTTTTTTTTTTTTTTGAGACAGAGTCTCAAGCTGTCGCCCATGATGTCACAGCTCACAGCAACCTCAAACTCTTGGGCTTAAGCGATTCTCTTGCCTCAGCCTTCCAAGCAGCTGGGACTACAGGCACCTGCCACAACACCCAGCCATTTTTTGGTTGTAGTTGTCATTGTTGTTTTGTGGGCCTGGGCTGGATTCAAACCCTCCAGCTCCGCTTGAGCTACAGGCACCAAGCCACTTCCTGGATTTAAATAAACTCATCCTTCCTCAAACCTTGCCCACAGAGGTCTTTATTGAACCCAGGTCAGTTTCAGTTTGACCAGGTCAAACACCTGAAGCCACCCTATAGGACCTAGTCCAATTTCTGTCATTACTTCCAAACCCAGGCTGGATAAAAAATGCTCAATAATAAACTCAGAGAACTCAACTCAAGTTGTGGAGTTTGTAACCAAGAGGGACTTACCAGTGATGACCTGCAAATGTGCAGTGAGAAACAGTGCAAGTGTCAGGGTCACAGTCTGTTCTGGTTCTTGGTGTGCTCTTGACCAAAGAATGACCAGACACTTTGTTAGGCCTAAGTGGGCCTAGCCTAAAGCAGAAAAGTGTCAGGCCTAGACTATAATGGAAAAATACCAGTTAATTCCTGGCAAATTTCCAGACTACAAGTTTTCAAAAAAGAAATGAAATAAGTCAAGTTCACCTCCAAGATAGATGACAAAGTGCTAATTGATTTCTTGCTTCTAGTTCACTCCCAGTTTCTTGCTTGGCTCACTCCCTGGGAAATGAACCAACTGTCGCTGGAATGACCTTTAAACCATACCAGGTGGAGAAAATACTAAGACAAAGATGTATGAAACTAAGATGTACAGGAGGTGTATGACATATAGCTAACTGCAAAATTCTGCTTCTGTACAATGAATGGTTGCTTGCTATCCTACCCCAGATGCACTTGGACAACCTGCGTGCCAACCAGGATGCAGACCAGGTCTTAAAAACCTGACCCCTAAAGCACTCAGGGTTACTCTCAGAAACCCCATTGGAACACTGAGGCAGTCACCGGCTGGCTCTTCAATAACGGATTCGTCTGTTAATTCGGCTAGCGTGATGGCGTGGTCTTTGGGAATTTCTGGACACACCACCACCCAAAAGAAGGTAAGCATGAAACAAAGTTTATTGAGGAAGGGCACTGGACCCTCTTCATAGTTAAAGGAAAGCTAATGATACAATAATTAACTTTACCTTATTCTAGGCCACTTCCCAGATCCTATGGTGCCTGGTCTGCCTGGCCCTCCAGCTAGGAAATTGCCTGCATTCTTTTGCAGATTGGCAGGGTATCCCTCCTTCCCAGGTGTGGCAGTTGTTTGGGGCAAGACCAAGGTGGGGAAGCAACAAGTCAGGGTGTATGTCCTTGGCCTTCTTCCCCAGGTGTGGCAATTGTCCAGGCAGCTCTAAGGCAGGGTGCCTGGCTTTGTCCCTAGGAGTGCTAGAAGTTCTCATGGTCTGCCTAACACACGTGGCTTATTGTGGTATGGTAGACCTATTTGCTCATTCCTTCCAGGGATCATCATTGGGGGCAGAGACACCTTTGGTTCCCACTTCTGACACCAGATCTCTTAAATAATAAACTGAGTTGCTTTCTGGAGGATGCAGCAACAAGATGCTATCTTGAAGCTAGACACCAAACCTGCTGTATCTTTTTTTTTTTTTTTTTTT